TGCTTGTCAGATAAAAAAAGTGGATTTGTTTTTGTTGTGTTGTGTTATTATCTTTGGAGACTCAAATTAGAAATGAGATTCATATTGGAACAGAAATAAGAAAGTTTTTAGCAAAGTTTCTAAATTTTAAAATACATTTTCTAAGACCAGTTCCGTTCTGCATGACTGCAGGTGCAGCACTGGGCATACATAGTTTGAATACAACAAAGCAGTTTTCATAACTTGCTACATGTATACTACTGTTCATAAATACTGTATAAAATTCACAACTTTTTTTGAGGAGCAAGTTGATATTCCTCAAAACATTCCGCAGGTTTCATTGTGATCTTTTGTGCAGTATCTGCTGCCACCACGAGTCCATTAAGCCTCCAGCCCAGAGAAATTTGACATCGATTACCATGGTATATAAACAATGCAGTGAAAAACATGCTTGCTGCCACCAAGAGTTCATCAGACCTCCAGTAGGAGAAATTATATTAAAAACAAAGTTGTCAAGGACTTAAGTTGACTACTGCCAAAAAACCTTGAAGCAGTAAAATGTAAAAGTTGAATGCCACTGTACAACATCATTAAAAAAACAAAAATACAACTGCGAGTGTACACATGTACAATAACCTCTGGCGAAAAATGCAATGCCGATATCCCATATGGAACACGATACTTTGGCCAATTTTTGGGACAGACAGACCATCCGACTGACCAACCACTAGGTGACATGTAGAAGCTTCTGCCAGAGCTTAAAAACTGTTTCCGCCCACTTTATGGGGACATTTCGTCCTGGATATCGTCCAACAACTACAGAAAATGGCGTCCACCTTGTTCGAGGAAGATGTTGTACAGTGCAAGTGCGGGTGCACAATAAGCTTTGGCCATGTTGCAAGAAGTCACCATGAAAGTCTTGCATGAAATCAACCAAAAGGATCCCTGCCAGAGCTAAAAAATGTGACACAGAACGATGGCACGTACGGAACACCATACTTTTGGTCAATTTTTCCGGGGAACAGGCAGACCAACCAACCACCACAAGTAGAAGCTCCTGCCAGTACATAAAAGGACCAATGTGTCTGCTGCCACCAAAAGTTATAAATGCGTCAAGCTCAGTGAATTTCACCAAATCAAAATATAAATCAAACAATGAAGATCAAAATGTATGCTGCCACCAAGAGTCCACAACCTCAAGTTCACACCGAAGTTTCACTTCCTGTTCCTTTCACCAAAAACAAAACCATTTGACGACCAAAATGAATACTGCAACAGAGAGCATTGTGAACTTTCAACTTTGATAACTCACAAAAAAGGATACAAACTGTCTGCTGCCACCAAGAGTCCAGAATGTCTCGTGACATTAATAAAAAAATGGGGTGAAAACCTTGTCTGCTGTCAATACGAGTCCAAAAAGCCACCAACTGGGCGAAATTTGATTTGTAATGCCATTGCATTAAACACAAATGGAGTAGACTGCCACAAAGTGTTAAAAAAAAAAAAAAAAACAGTGAAATTTCACGATCATATAACACTGGTGATATAGGAAATGTCTGCTGCCACCAAGAGTCCATAAAGCCTCAAGCCTCAGTGAATTTAACCATATGAATTTATTTTGCTATGGCTTGTAAATACACGTGGCAATGGTAAGCAGCTGCAGCCAGTTGAAGCTGCTTCCAATTTGGATGACTCACAATGCAGTGCGCCACCAAAAGTTTGCCACGGAGAGTTCATTTTTCCACGTTTATTGTGGAAGATCGTCCACAAGTTAGTAGAGCAGGACATTTGAAATTGTTAGTTTTTCCAGTCAATAGCTTCGTATGCCTATAATTCAAGTATCTGTTTGCCCTTTTTTATATCAATATGGTGTTTTTGTAAGGCAGCAACGCTATGCTCCAATCTTTAGCAAATATAGCTTAAGTTGTCTACTGACCCTCGCTCAATGGGCCAGCTTTTGTCGACCATAAACTTGAAAAATGGACTCTCCATGACAGACTCTTGGTGGCGCACTACATAGTGAATCGCCTGTATTGACATGCGTTTAATTTCAAGCCTCAGCCAAGTAATTCTGACAAACGGACTTTTTGAAACAACTGGCTTTGGCTTCCTCCTAAGGAGATTTTAGGCCCCAACTTCCGTGACTCCAGCTTCATTTCAGTGCATGTTATGCCTCGGGAACATTCAACCGGCTCATGTGAAGCCAAAAGTTAGAATATTTTTGTTACGTTTGCCTCTCAGTGATTCAGAAGTCGGGGGCAAAGCCGAAGCCGAAAGTGAAGCAAAGATTTGAAAACTCCAAAGCATTACCTAGACAAAAAATATACCGAACTGTCTGCTGCCACCAAGAGTCTACAACTTCCAGTTAATTGAATTTTCACTTTTTAATACCATTATACCACAAAAAGCTCAACGGAGAACCAAAATTAATATTGCAACCAAAAGCACAGCAGGCCTAGTTTGAAACTTGGGGAGAACTTCAAAATACGACGTTACATCACACACACACAAAACAGAGAACCAAAAAAACTGCTGCCACCAAGTGTCCAAAAACCCTCCAGTTCAGGAAGGTGATAATCCTAGACCACATATTCCTTGTCTTGGGTTATTGTCTAGGTATTCCATACAAACACAGTTATGGTAACATGACAACTGCATAACATCCTCACGCATCTCACACACAAAAAACAACCATGACAAATTTAATGTCTGTTGTCTCCATGGCATCACAAAAACAAGTTGGGCCAATATATCTGCTGCCACCAAGAGTTCAACAAGGATCCAGTTCAGGTAAGTCATCATCTACGGCCATAGTCTACAGCTAAAGATTAACAACATAGAGAAAACTGTAGTGTGACGAAATCTAAAAAAAACCCATCTGATTCGGACATGGCCTAAAACCATACTAAAAAAAAATATAAAGACAGATATATCTGCTGCCACCAAGAGACAAGAGTCCAACAAGCTTCCAGTTCAGGTGTCTTTGGCTAGATTGGTAGTGTGAGGAAAACTGTAGTTGTTTTGAGATACCAAAAAAAGTATGATTTGACACGACCTAAAGCTTAATTTTAAAAAATCTGCTGCCACCGAGAGTCACAAAGCACCCAAGCTGAGTATTAATGCTGCGTTAGTGTACCGTTTCAACACGATTTCCTTTCTGGTTTGTGTGTGTGTTACATAGCAGATGCACCATGGACCCAAGATTCGCTCGTACCCTGCGCCCTGCAAACATCACGCTAAGAACTGCTGTTGAATTTCAGCTCTGATTGGATAGATTTTGTAAACCATTTTGTAAATTTTCAATTCTCGTCACTTGCTCAGGCCCTGTTTCAAATTCACGAAGGGTCCAACTGCATAGTATGGGACACCCAAATTTGTCCACATGGTCTGCAATGAAAAAGAAATCACATCCGGTATGGAATGTATGCATTTCTATGAGAAAGTTTTCGGATAGCATTTGCGCCCGGCGCCATTAGCTAGGTCATGATAAGTTACCCAGAATGCCCACTTCCTTCACAAGATTCTGTAAAGCTCAACAACCCTTCCCAGCGCCCTGTTTGCAGGGCAGAGGAAACAGGGAGGGGGGCAGGGGGTAAGAGTGAAGGACCCAAGATTGATGGCAAACGCGTGAGGAGAAATAATTGGAAATACAATTTATTTTTAGGACGGTCAGGTAAATTGACTTAAAACCTCCAACTTGTGGAATGAGGCAATGTTTCTGTTGCACCTCATTTCTAATGTCTGACAGTTGGCTATATTTTGATTGGTATTTGAATTTATGAAAGTTAGGAATTTTGATTCTTAAGGGATCAATATAATAATAATTGTACAAATATATTATCTGCTGCCACCTAGAGTTCAGAAAGACTCCAAGTTGTCATCTACCTATTTGGCTTGGGTTCGTATCCCACAAACGGGTAATGTGTATCAGAGTTGTGTGTGTGACTTTCTTTTTTTTAAAGTTAGGTTTCATTTTCTTTCCCTGAAATGTCTTTCAAGGGTTTCCCCTGCAACTCAACCTTTCGCCGTCTTCACTCTTTTGGTGTCTCAAGATGTCCTGTCCACTGTGCACATTTAGGGAACACTTTACACTTGACAAAAAAAATATGTGGGGGGGGGGGGGGAACTGAAAAATTGCCATTTCTAAGCATGAACATGGGACTTGAACAGATAGATGTGTGAAGCCCAATGAACCGTTTTTAGCATGGAACGGAATGCTTCCCCGGACAGCAATGCATCCATGTGCCCAAAGTATGTCTTAATATCAATGTAACCATAATTTTATATGGGAATGTTAATCTCAAACAAAATTTTCAAATTATGATAGCAAACATGTGACGGGACAAAAAGTGATTTCTTTTTCTACCTGACACCAAGAATAAAATTTGATTGAAAGGTGAATGTTTTATTCGTGAGTGAATATGATTGCTGGGGAAAAGTCCCAAAATACATGTAGTGATGTTTGAAAGCAGTGTGAAAGATGTGTTTGTATGTCTGAGAAGATACCCATTGTGTAAAAAAGGTCAAGAGACAAGCAAAAGCAACGTCTGATTTTAAATAATTTTGGTTGGTCATGAACTTTTGATTTAGTTAAGGCTACCTTTCCATAACTGCATTTTTCAATCTGTTTTGTGTACTTTGGAAATAGGCCAAGGTAAAGTTTTAGTCAAAAGTCAGTCATAAGTTAAGCAACAAGTCAGGACACAAGTTACAGTGAATGAACAATGACAAAAGGAATATTTTTTTGGTCACAGCTCATTTGAGTTGAGAACGGATGACTTGTGATTGACTTGTGGAGATTTCTGACTGACTCAATGACATCTCTGAAGCCAATCTCTGGACACAAAGTGGACTGAAAATGTGTTTATGGAGAGACAGCTTTTTGACTTGTGTGACTTGCGTTAATATGCCCTGCCCATGAGATGTGGAAGCCTGAATGTCATGGTACCAATGCTGTTAGGGGCGGGTGAGAAAGACCTACAAGCGATACCCGGATTGCACCCATCGTCACCATCACATACTGTCAGGGGTTGGGGAGGGACCATGGCGGACTGGCCCCGCCGACTGTAGCGATTGTGGTACTGGAAGAACACTTCATCATCTTCCTCTTGCTCTCTCTGCCTCTTTGCTTCCTCATCTTCTGGGGCTGTGGATGCAGTTGCCGGGGTTACCTGGTTCAGCATCTTCTCCTTGTGTAGTTGATGTTGAGCCTGTTGGAGCTCCTGTAGTTTTGGGTCGACCGGTGAGCACTGCTTCTGTAGTTGGTGGTACTCCTTGTGCAGTTGCTTGAGTGAGCTTTTCTGGCTTCCGGAGCTGCTTCCACCCCCACCTGACGCTGCCCCGGCCGCCACTCTCTCTAGATGGGCCTTGAAGGCATGTAAGTTGGGCATGCCGTCCGAGGCCCGGCGCGTGTAGACGTAATTGGCCGGCGGATATAAACTCATGTCTCGCATGTGAGGGTTGCGATCAGGCGGGACGTGGAAACGCTCCCGCCGGGATGAACGCTGGGGGACGTTGATCGGCTGCGGTATGAGGTTCCGTCGCAGCTCTTCCTGTAGGTCATGTGAGGGCACTTCGGAGCAGAGCGTGTGTCTGAAGCGACCGCCTCTGTTCCTTAGATACCTGGGAGAGCAAAGAATTTCCATTATTGAAGCACATCTTGGATGCTGCATTCCATTGGTCTAGAATGGTCACATGATCAAGTTACTACTGTCACACAAAATACTAATATTACAATGGAGCAGCATGTGATGCTCTGTACCACATTGCATCAGGTTTGCAACATTCAGATAAAGATTGGTAGTGATGAAACTGGCTTTTTGAAAAGAAATCTGAAAATAGGCTGGGGTCGGGGGGTTTCAGATGTCAGTAACCTCAAAAAAGAGCACAGTATGTTGAGTTTTTGCCGCCAATCTCTGCATGCAACAACCTCCAAGCTCTGGTTTGTACTTTCATATGTCAAAGCATTCGCGGGTGGTCGCTAAATTGGGAGTCCTTGGACCCAGGCAGGCGCATTGCCAGGGTTTTGTTTGCCCGTTGCAAATTCCCGATCAGCGTCCCAACTTTGCTTTAAAATTCTCCATCCCATTGCAATCTGCCACTCTGCCAAGGGTAAGGAGTCATCTCAAAAAATATCCGGGAGAAGTTGCAGAAAACTTAATCTGCAATAGGCCTGTTGTATTTGTTGTAGGATTCTGAACAACTTCCCCAGAATCTTCTAGCGAGGAAGAATGCTTATTGATAACTTCATCACAGGAATTTTTCCAGGGAAGTTGTTAAGAATCCTTCAACTGATACCAGTATTTCAAGTCAGCTGACCCCCACTGACCTTTGAACTTCTTCTTGGTCAGGCTCCTCTTCGTCCGAGTTCTCCGCCTCCTCTGGTACGCCCGTCGCTGAGACCGGCGGTAGTCTCTGTTGTAACGATTCCCCTGAGGTCTACAAGGACAGACCAGATAGTTCCACAGTTAAGGCCAAGTCCCAAACGGCAATGTTGTCTACACTACGGCTTCTCTTATTAGGATGTCAATGGCAAAACAAATGCCACAGCCACAAAATACCCCAACTTGGCTCAGAATCAGTGTTGTAGTCCAATTCATCACAAGTCAGATCACAGGAGAATCACAGGTCAAATCATACATTGAAGTCCGGTTAGGCCAAAAAAAAAAATATTCGGTCTCTGGTCAGACCAAAGTTCCGGAATTGACGCGGCCACGCAGCTTTTTTTTTTTTTTTTTGCTTTTTTTTTTTTTCTTCAAGCTTGGATTGTACAGACAAGGTGGGTACTATTTTGCTTTTTTGGTGTCCTCATGTACATTGGTGTCCTCCATAATTTGCCTTGGTGCTTTCGATCATTTGCCTTGTTGCAATTTCCCATTCCTTGGTGCTCTTTGGTAAAAAAAATTGAGGAGGTGCGGAAATAGAGGGCGCCGTTTGGAGCTACCGCGGAACATTTTGGAAAAAAAAAGATCGACGCGCATGGTTAAAATCGACGCGCGCGCTGACCAGAGACCAACTTATTTTTTTTTTGGCCTTACAATCAACAGGGCATGATCATTGGCCAAGGAATGCCTTTGTCATAATACATGTACTTTGTGACATGGCAATTGGATGACGTGTGAGTGCCTTGTACTCATACTTGTATTTGTGGCAAGTTCTTGTATTCATACTCGTTCTCATGGCAAAATGATAACGAATACTCAACTCATGACAAAGTACTTGTACTCATACTCATGACAAAGTATTCATACTCATACTCGTACTTATACTCATGCTAAAATACTCATGAATACTCCTACTCATGACAAAGTACTTGTACTCATACTCATCACAAAGTACTCGTACTCATACTCGTACTCACTCTCATGGCAAAATACTAATGAATACTCCAACTCATGACACAACACTTGCACTCATGACAAAGTACTCATACCCATGACAAAATACTCATACTCAATCTCGTACTCATGGCCAAATACCACACTCATACTCGTACTTATGGCAAAATACACACACTTGTAGTCATGGAAATGTACTTGACGACAACACGCGGAAGGTACTTGTAACGGAGTACACTTTTGGGACTCGTTATCGTACTCATGGAAAAAAACTGCCTTGCACTCATACTCGTACTCATGACAAACTAATCGTACTTATACTCGTACCCATGACAAAGTACTCGTACTCATACTCCTACTCATGACCAAGTACTCATACTCATACTCATGGCAAAGTACTTGTAGTCATACTTGTACTCATGGCATACTCATACTCGTGGCAAAATACTTGTACTCATACTCGTACTCATGACAAAGTACTCCTCATATTTGTACTCATGAAAAACTACTCATACTCGTACTGATGGCAAAGTACTTGTAGTCATACTTATACTCATTGCATAATACTCATACTCGTAACTCATGTCAAAGTACTCGTACTCTTGACAAACTACTCGTACTCATACTCGTGGAAATGCACTTGACTACAACACTGGTTCATGCATGTCCATATCTAAAAAGAAATCATCTAAACACCAATAGTCAAACTCAGCAAACACAATTGTGTTGTCATGGCCTCACCTGTCCAGTCAGGTCCACATTGACTGGCTGGCTTGTTCTTTTGCTGAGAAACTGGTTCTGAAACTGCTGCAAGTGTAAGTACATGTTGGCGCCACCATCCGACGCCCGACGACTGAAGCTGTTGTGACCCCCCGTGGCCTCCAGAGCTGGCGGCTTCAGAAGATTTTGTTCCTGGAACAGAGATTTAGCCACAATGGATATCTTGCCAACACCCCCATCCTACCCCCTTCACTCACACCCAGCAGGCTTCCACCTTACCCGTTTAAACCCAGGCAGTTCCCTACCATTTTCCTCCAAACCCAGCCACTGCCCCCAACGTTGACCCCTTGCAGGCAGCACATCTCCCACCTTGACCCCTTTTCATCCAGCAGATCCCCCAAAACCCTCTTTGCACCCAGCTATTTCCCCTTCTAACCACCAGCAAATTCCTCAATTTTACCCTCTCTACACCCAGCCAGTTCCCCCATCTTATGCCCATTGCACCCAGCCAGTTTCCCCATCTTACCCTCTCTACACCCAGCCAGTTCCCCCATCTTATGCCCATTGCACCCAGCCAGTTTCCCCATCTTACCCTTACACCCAGCCAGTTCCCCCATCTTATGCCCATTGCACCCAGCCAGTTTCCCCATCTTACCCTCTTTACACCCAGCCAGTTCCCCCATCTTATGCCCATTGCACCCAGCCAGTTTCCCCATCTTACCCTCTTTACACCCAGCCAGTTCCCCCATCTTATGCCCATTGCACCCAGCCAGTTTCCCCATCTTACCCTCTTTACACCCAGCCAGTTCCCCCATCTTATGCCCATTGCACCCAGCCAGTTTCCCCATCTTACCCTCTTTACACCCAGCCAGTTCCCCCATTTTATGCCCATCGCACGAAGCCAGTTTCCCATCTTAACCCCTTCGCACAAAGCCAGTGCCACCACCACCTTCACATCTAGCAGTCCCCCTGCTTTCCCCCAGACCCAGTCTCCCACCTTACCTGCTCAACACTCAGCCAACTCCCTACTTTGCCCCTTCCCACCCAGCGAGAACCCATACCTTTCCCCTTCACACCCAGCTAGTTCCCTACCCATCCCCCGTCAAGCTCAGTGAGTACCCCTCCTTGTCCCCTTCTTATCCAGCGAGAGCCCATACCTTTCCCCTTCACAATCCCCAGTTATCTACCCATACCCATTTCAAGCTCAGTGAGTGCCCCACTTTGTCTCTTTTGCACCCAGATATTTCTCTTCCTTAAACCCATCAGATACCCCCCCCACCTAAATACGCCCTTTTCAACCCCTCCAGCAGCCCCTTACCTTATAGGTGACAAGCTGTTCTGGCTGATTGAGCCCAGTCATCAATGGCAAGTTCATGGGCAGGTTAGTGTTAAGCACCACGGGAGTCAAGGTAGGTAGAAGGTGGTGATGCTGGCCAAAGCTGCCCCCCTCGGTACTGGGATTGGCATGCTGAGCCGGCATAAGCTTCATCTTCAGGTGGTCTGGAACCTCCTGGCTTGGGTCTGCCGGGCCAAGGGTATGCCGCCGGACTTGGAGGTAGCGAGCTAGGGCCTCTGGGCACGGTTCCTCAGGGTCGCTGTCTACATCCACTGGCTGGTCAGACTGAGCAGATGGGAAAAACAGGTCACTTAACTGAGCAATTGTCTTTTTCTTGTGAAGCAAACAGCTGCAATATGCGCCGCAGCACCTTGTAGACCCTTTCAAGGTACTACATAGTTGGTCTCATATTTCTCATACACTTCACTTACCTGTCTTTAATCATTTCCAGCGCCTTTAGAACCTCATTGTTGGTAGATACATGCGCTTAATAAGACTCCGGTATTACTATTATCTCAACACAGAACAATCATAACAATGCTCATGTCAAGTAAGAAGATCCGGATGTGCGCACGGCGTCGTAACTTCACAAGTCAACTGCGATTGATTCCCACCTATCAGAAACATGTTCCATTGCTGCGCAGAAGGTAACATTTTTCTACTCTTCGGACTGCTTTTTTTTTCAGTGCCAACTGATGACAATCATCTCAATATCATCGCAGTTACACATGCACACTCAGGTTGCACAAAATGGGTGACTGATATGTTCCCGACAGTCACAGCTCAGGTGCTGCTTGATCCTGAAAAGTCAGTCGCCAACTGTTCTTTGTCATCGCAAAGTCGACCCAGGATAGCTTAACATTTACGCATTTGTGCTTACCTGAATGATAATCTGATCGTTTTCGTTCGTGAAGCGCACTTGGGGTATCGCTCCGGGCAACAAGCCCTGCCTCCGCCCCCCACCTGATGATATCGACGAAACTGACGACATGGACGCGATTCCGTCTGATGCGCCGCCCTCGCTTGGTGATGGTGATGGACTGGTAGTCGTTGCGGCGGCCATTCGACTCTTGTCGTGAGGGTGGGAGTTGGATTTTTGGTGGCGTTTTAACTTGTCGAGGAAGAGGTGATAGATTGCACTGAATTGGTCAAAGCTTTTGCCGCTCAAGGACTGCAAGGAAAAATAGAAAAATTGGTTATCATGCCAAGGAAACTGACAAATGACCCAACCAACAATTAGTACTTTTCAACAAATTAACGTTTTTTTATCCTAACAAATGAGCTTATGAATCTGAGATAAATGAATGATATGAATCTTTCTCTCCGCCTCAAACACACAAACTCTCAATAACAGTCACATTTTGTATGTAAAAAACAACATGCCAAAATGACTACCAAAAATCCATGATTTCAGCACCAAACCCCCCCCAGGTTTTTTTACCCCAAATCACACTTAACTACATTCCATCTCATTGGCACACCACTCAAATGAAAGATCTTGTTGTCCCCTTTAATTTGACACCCTATTTGATGTTGTGATGCTTGTAGTTTGGAAGATTTCATACAGTTTCCACTATTCAGCCGTGTCCACTTTTGCGTGGAATTTTTTCTAAGCAAGCGTTAGCCTTTAGTCAAGGCGCGTGTGTCTACCTGAACGCGTGGTGCCCCAGATTCTGGCACGGAAAAAGACCAGTCGAGTCGCTAAGCCACGAGCGCCTTTACCATCTCGTGGAGCTAATCATTATTCATTTTTCAAGTAAACTGAATCATGCATGATATATATGAACCAATCACCACCAACAAGCCATTTTTGAGGTGATGACACGCGCGCGTACCCTCAACGCGTTCTAAATAAAACAAGACGCGCGCACGCATTCACAACATGTCATGCATTATGCATGAAAATTTGTCTACCAAATCGGTAGACAAATGTAAAGAAAAACATAAGCGCTCTCCACGAGATGGTAAAGGCCCTCACGGCTTTGCCGCTCGTGCTAGTCTTTTTACGTGCCAGAATCCGGGATGCGTCACGTGTCCGGATGAGCGCGTGGGACTTGACTAAAGGCTAAGCAACCATTGGCCCCTGACCTGTAGGATGAGATCCCGTTCAATCCCCAGGGACACCATATGTTGGACGATGAGTTCGTTGATTGGATCCGGCCCGTTCACCGTTGTGGCAAGCTGGTCGTACTCCGCGATCATGTCGTCAAAGGGGGTGTCCGGCTCGCCGGTCTTGGTCCACTTGTGGCCCAGGATCTGGTCCGTGTTATAACGCTTGTTGGGATCTAGGACCAGCATGTGTCGTATGAGCTGTTCACATTCTACAGGGGAGAGGAATGGTTAGGATATCAAGATCAAGATATTATTATTACTTATTATTATTATTATTATTAGTCACAAGTCAATCACAAAGCAATAACATGTTCTTTTGTCAAGTCAGAATGTCAATCACAAGTCAGTAAAATGTCAATCACAAGTCAAATCACAAGTCAAATCACAAGTCAAACAAAAGCCAGTCACAAATCAGTAAAATGTTAATTACAAGTTAAACCACAGGACATATCATAATTCAATCGCAAGTCAATCACAAGTCATCAATTCAAATCCCATCTTAATCACAAGCCAGTCACAGTCAGAAGTCAATCACAAGTCAAATGCAATTCAATTGGAAGTCAAATTACAAGTCGATCACAAGTCACATCCCAAATCCATCACAAGCCAGCCAGTAAAGTGTCAGTCACAAGTCGAATCACAAGTAAATAGTAAGTGAATCACAACTACATGTAAATCGTAAGTGAATCACAAACCAGTAAGAAATCAGTAAAATGTCAATTACAAGTCAGTAAAATGTCAATCGCATGTCATCACAATTCAAATCGCATAATGTTCACAAGCCAGTCACAGATCAGTCAAAAGTCGCATCGCAAACACAAGTCAATCACAAGTCAGTAAAATGTCAATCACAAGTTAAAGCGCAGGGAAAATCGTTACTCAATCACAAGTCAATCACAAGACATCACAATTCAAATCCCATTATTAATCACAAGCCAGTCAAAGGTCACTCAAAAGTCAAATCGCAAAGCAATCAGAAGTCAATCAAAAGTCAGTAAAATGTCAGTTGTAAATTGTCAAATCACAAGTCAAATCACAAGTCACTGGTAACCACAAGTCAATCATAAGTAAATCACAAGTTGGTCACAAGTGAGTAAATTACAAGTCAATAAAATGTTAATCACAAGTTCAATCGCAGCACAAATCATAAATAAATCATAGGTCAATCACAATTCAAATCGCTTGTTAATCACAAGCCAGTCACAGGTCAGTCAAAAGCCACACCACAAAGCAATCACAAGTCAGTAAAATGTCAATCACAAGTCAGTAAAATGCCAATCACAAGTCAATCGTAAGTCAATCACAATCACAATCATTACATATTTCTTACCTGGGCTCATAAAAAAAGGTACCCTAAACTGTCCCGACAAGACTCGCGAGCGCAGACCTTGTAACGTGGGCCCGTCAAACGGCAAAGCACCTGACACTAGTACATACAAGACAACCCCTAGACTCTGCAAATGGGAGTGTTGGACAAAAAGAAAGAACCATGTAAATTAATTATCAGCCAATTAAGCCAAAAAAAATAAATAAGTCGGTCTCTGGTCAGCGCGCGTCGATTTTAATCATGTGCGTCAACCTTTTTTTTTTTCCAAAATGTTCCGCGGTAGCTCCAACAGCGCCCTCTATTGCCGCACCTCCTCATTTTTTTTTTACCAAAGAGCCCCAAGGAATGGGAAATTGCACCAAGGCAAATGATCGAGAGCACCAAGGCAAATTATGGAGGACACCAATGTACATGAGGACACCAAAGGAAGCAAAATATACCCCCACCTTGTCTGTACAATCCAAGCTTGAAGGAAAAAAAAAAGCCACGTCCCCGCGTCAACTCCGGAACTTTGGTCTGACCAGAGACTGAACTTTTTTTTTTTTTGCCTTAGAGTAAAACAAACTGTCATCACCCATAGAAACCAATATCACAGAAGGCATGATGGTCTGGTTTCCTGTCCAAAATATTTTAACTATTCTGACCAATCTTACGCGAGGTAGCCGCCACAGCTTAAAAATAAACACGAACAATAACAGTCAGGATCCTATTTGTTTCCAAAAATGTCCTTAGTTTTACCAAATTTATATATCGCTGCCACTCGGAAAGGTTTGAGATAGCTTGGGTATTTCAGGCCGTACGTTTTTTTACCAACAAAATTCCTGTCATGGTTGTTATCGGTTTTGAAATGTTTGGGTTCATCAATTTGTTTCTTGCATTTAAAAATGTCTGTGCCAGGCATATTACCAAGTATCTGTTATTACATGGCCAATGCAGATTTTTACCTGAAGTGCATGTGTGCGTTCATAGGCGGCGGCTTTGCCACGTCCTGTTATATTTTTGAATGTGATGGCTACCTGACCCTTTAAGATGTGATGGAAACCTGACCCTTTCCCCATTAATCACAAACGTTATACCTCAAGCTAGGCTACACTTCCACTTCCACTTAAACAACAACCCTTGGCACGTAGAGGTAAAGTGGCTTGCCCAAGGACATAGCATACAGTCAGCAGCTGGATTCACATCCCAGACTCTCTGATTGGAAGTCACAAACCCCAACCACTTGGCCACACACCCTCTGTACTTACAACTTGACACACCCTTAAAACAGCCTCACATCGGCCTTGCATTTGCCTGAGGCAAGTAAGGGTAAAGTGGCTTGCCCAAGGACACAGCGTTTAGTCAGACTATGCCCCCATGATGAGTCAGCACTACTCACCCAGACATCTGCCTTTGGTCCGTTATACTCCCTGCCCTCAAAGAGTTCTGGCGCAGCATACGGCGGACTCCCACACCACGTCTTCAACAACTGGCCCTTCTCAAAAAAATTGCTAAAACCAAAATCTGAAACAACAAAGAAAATACGTAAACAGAATCCAGCGACTCAGTGCAAAGGCAGGCAATGTAAAACAGTCATGAAACTGACTTCAGACTACACATTCCTCTAATAATTACATGAAAATGAAGCACATCTTTGTTCAGTTTATTCCAATTTTTGTTAAGTGCACTTTTTTTTAACAGTTTCACAATATCCATGCTGTTTCTTGACCCTGGGGGCGCTGTTGCATTGATGTTAATACTCATAGACACTTTCCAGTTTTTCTGTACAAATTATAAGGATTAGCATGTCTTTAATCTTTCCTGAATTACCCTGTACACTGTACTAAAGTGCTCATCATTTCATTTATAAATGTACAAAGGACCAGAAATGCTATATTTAAACATTATTATCTTGAAATTTATCTAAGGATACCAGTCAGATGTAAGAGCGAAAGTGACTAATCAGGGTCGGTTATGAGAGCTTGTACATGTAATCTTGATTCTGATTGGCCAGTATTGGCTCTTCCAGATTAAGGGATTCTCACCAGTATTTGGATAGCGATTATTCCCAAAATGTCTTTGTTTATATCAGCTTACAAAAATAATCAAACACATTCTAAATTCAAATTTAACTGGTTTACTGCCCCATACATAGAATGCAGCGTTCAAGGTTTTTGAACCCTCAAATGTGAGAAAGCTCTTGTCCTGTAGAATTCAGAAATAAAAATTCTCGCAGTTCTTCAACAGTTCAACTTTATTCTAGCCTTGGTCAAGGCTTTCGATGATAGTGTCCTGATGATTGACATCGGCTGCTAACATATACATGTACATGTACATGTACATGTACAATAGCCGCGCGTTAATACACATATTATACGAAGCATGAACAGCGACCTCACGCGGCTATGCAAATCAGTCAGTGCCGATTGAATGCCTTAAAACAACGGCCGCGAGGGCCTGTTTCAGGCAATTTTCTTTACTATGTCACTGGATTTATGTTGAGTTATATTGTCCGCAGGACTCCAAACATGTTGGAGAAGGTAGCCACACTACCAAGCTCTCCATCCATGTAACATATGAGCCTCCACGACCAAGAACTGAATAATAATCTCATCTTTATTCACATTTGGGGTTGTCGCTGGAAATCCCACGACAAAATAAAGACAAACATAAGCCAAGACGCATGGTTGTCCCAAGGTGTTCGTCAGCACCAACTGATTGCAGCCTACACCAACTGATCTTGTAGCTGACTGTTTATGTTAGCGGCGAACCATCGATCATCGGACACTATCGTTGAACGCCTTGACCAAGGCTAACTTTATATCCTTTAAGGGTAAGGGTTAATGACCCCCTCAGACTCTCAAGGCACGCCCCTTTAACATACCCACCTGCTATTTTGACATTCTTATTGGCGTCTAGTAATAGATTTTCTGCCTTAAGATCTCTATGTACAATCTTTCTACAGTGGCAATAGTGGACGGCTGCAACAATCTGTTTGAACTTCTGTCTTGCTTCCCTCTCTGTCATCCGACCGTGGGATATGAGGTGATCTATGGCACAGGCAAAAATGAAAAATGAGAAATGAGCAAAGTTCATTATCTCCTATTGTTTGATCAATCACACTGTCACAGACAGTTTACCGGTACATTATTAGTTATCCCGTGAGCGCGAGTGGAACACGGAATAATGTAGTGCGTCTGTGTCCCACATGCCACAAAGCCAAAGACCGAGTGGCATGTGAGACACAGACGCATAAATTTTCCGTGTTCCACGAGCGCGAGCATGATAACGAATTTATCTTCAAGCAAACTTGACACACTAAAAAGATTTTCAGCAGTTATCCTATTACAGGTGCGTGTAATGGTGTCCGCATCTTGGAATAGCGCAATACGCGGAGGGCGGTATGGACCGTGGCCGTGCTACATGGTTATATGTAGCACGGCTTGTTGCCATGGATCGACCAATCAGGATCGAGGATTCAAGTTTACTTGAAGACAATATTAAATATACATGTACATTAGGCTTGGGACGGTATTGCATTTACTATACCGCAGTATCCAGTGACAAAAAAAACGCGGTATTCACTAAAACCGCGGTATTATGTTAAGTGGGGTATTAGTTACGTCATTATCAGAAGAAAAAATAACTAACCACCAGGCACCATGTGCCGAGTTGATAAGCCGCCAGCGCAGCATAAATCACGCAAATGCTTCACGCCGCAAATCTCCTACACTAAAAGCGTCTTGGTTTCAAACTTTCATTAAATATCAGTCCATTTGTTTGTAAAAACAACATATCATTGTAACAGATTATTAAACACGGGAAGCTTACTTTTTGTGGTATTGCATTTTTCGAATTTGTAAGTCATTGACTTGACAAGGTCCACTAAAAAATAATGCAGATCGTCGACCGATGCCAGCGCGCGCCAGAGGCCGACCACGCGACGATCCCAAGATCCTAGCGAACGTATGCTTTTCAGTTGGTATCCATTGTGAGTGACTCGAAAGGCTCATGCAATTTATGCCGGCCACCAGCGACTCCTTGCGTGCTTCGCCGGTGTCATGTGAAAATCGGACTCCTACAAAAAATATCGTACTCCTTCTCACGTGATCGGTCCGTGATTGATAATAGTAAACATCACAATATTACGCATGCGCAATTGTGGACGCTGTAATATGAAGTTGTCGGTGCCGCGACCTTCATAACGAACGGACCAATCATTCCAAAACATGAATGGAAAATGTTTCTAGCGCCGTTTTAGATGGACAATCAGCTTGATCTACACAGGGCGTGGGAAAAAGCACGTGCAATTGTGCTTGTGGGCCCAGCAGGACGGGCGTAGCTTTACGTGTGATCGTGCGGGCATTACGGGGGGTTTTCCCACGGTGAGAAATCATGGTTCTTGTATTACGCTTTCTTTTGGAGTATTTTCTTTTCTGGATTTTTATCTGGAGGACTCGGCATATTCAGGCGAGTCCCTTCCCTTTGAACGTCGGTACCGATGAATAACTAACGAAACATGAATGAAAAAAATTGTTCCGAGCGTGGATTTAGATGGCCAATCAGATTCTTTTATCTCACCATCGTCTCGGTAAAACCTTCCAAAAAAAAAGGCGAGTGCGGACACGGTGTCACATGAAAATCCGACTCCTATGAAAATCGGACCCCTTTTCCCTATTATTGGTTAATCCCTCTCACGTGACCGGTCACTTTCCTAATTACCATACTTACGCATGCGCGTTATTACCAATGAGTCCGAATTTCATAGAAACGTAAATTCTCACTACACCAGCTTTAGATCGATAAATGCAATGGGTGGGGAAAAGCACGTGTTCCGACTCTCTGTGCGGAACCAGTGTGGGACCACGTGTATGCGTATCATGCACTGGCATGTACGGCCACGCACATGACGCACGTAAACACTTAAGTGTACGCTTCCAGATCGTACAAAAGTTTTTACCCACGTTAAGAAATCATTCGTTGGAATATTTTCTTTTCTTAATTTTCCCGGACGGTTCACACTCGCTGCCTCGTATATTCAGGCGAGTCCAGATTTTTGTTTTCCTTTTGCGCGTCGGTGCCGACACTGCTTTATTGTACATTTATTCCCAAGGCCCATGATAGGACATCATGATGGCTTTGATATTGCGCTTTCCTTGAAATATTTGTTTCTCATTTTCCCCGGATCGGACGGCTCAGCATCGCATGTGAATCCAGGCGTCCCAGCACTAGACTGAAGCCTGCAAGTTTGGCGGTCATATAACCAAGATTGACACGGTTTTTTTTCTTGTTGCTGATATTCTTGGGAACTATGTTGTGGCAAAAAATACGCATGATGATGTAAGATTTCTCTGAAACAACCACGGAGAAACAATTAAGACGACCAGTTTTTGTCACGACCGTCAAAACATTCCCATGTGTAAAACATTGTTTGAACTTTCAGCGGAGACTTTTTACACACAAAGAAAACCGCAAACACGGCGGCGTTAGCAGAACTTCAAAGGCCTTTGTGGTATTGCAGCTGCCGAAGTATCAGGTTTTCTAGTCGAGCTTGACAATTGTGTTTAATCTGTCAACGGTAATTGACAATGCAGACATGAAACTGGATGCCTGAGACCACAAAGAATGGAATCAAACATGTCAAAGAGGTTGCTTGTCTTTCTGTTAGAAAGGCTTTTGCGAAGATTCTGAACACTAAGGAAGAATACCGCGGTATTGAAATTCCATACCGAGTTCACCGGTGTTTCGGTATTCATGAATCATTAGTCGGTGTTAGTCGGTTATTAAAAAAAACCTTGACTATCCGGTAATACCGAAATACCGTCCAAGCCCAATGTACATGTACCGTTACATTGTTTACTTTTGCTTTAATTTTCAGAAATGGATGGATTTGACCCCATTCCCACTTGATCCACCAATTGGGGGATCTGATCCACCTTTTGCCAAATTGCCGGATCAGATCCCCCAATTGGTGGATCAGATCCGGCAATTGTGTGTAGTGGGAACGCTAACCGTTATAAGGTGGATCAGGATCAGATCCACCTTTTCTGATCCACCTCTGGACCAGGATACAGATCCCCCAATTGGTGGATCAGATCCGGCAATTGCCGGATCACGATCAGATGGGAACGCAAAAGGTGGATCTGATCCGGCAATTTGACCTGTTAACATCCGCCCGGTGCACGAGTGGCGCGAAAATGTTGCGGTCTCATGAACGAAGAAACACGTTTTCAGGCGTGTAGCTCATGTGAACATTTCCAGCGTTTACAACATGCACAATAAACAACCGCTGAACTACGGGCTAGCACCGGCACCGCGCATGCAAAAGCGCACGTGGTATCCCAAAAATACACTACAGGCATTATTTTTGTTGCGTGTTCGTCCATTACTAAACCTTTTTCATTCCTGAAATTTCACTTATTTTTCCATCCATAAATGACTCTGAGTCCGCACTCACCAAAAGACTTCACTTTGGCACAGAATCATTGAAAAGCTTACGAGTATGCGATGAGAATAGTGCCGATAGCACGGTACGTACGGAGGTGACAAATCTGAAGTATTGATTATAGAAAATTGGAAAATGATGTCGTAGTACATCATGTGACCGTTTCTAACCAATGAGAAGCTTCAGAACCAGGGAATCCCTTATCGATGCATTGGTTTCTGTCGTGATGTCACACAATGAGCGGCTCTGTTGGATTTCACCTTTTAATGTATGCACGCACGGATCCTCTACGGATCCGTGATTTATGTTGGTGAATTCGCGTAATTTTTGTCTGTGAATTCTGATAGTGCTGTTTGAAAACTGACCCATCCTGGCCTAGCATGCAACCATGCAACAATGGCACTCCCACAGAGTGCGCGTAATTCCGAACTCAGTGACCTTTCGGACCCAACATTTCCGTACGAAAAGGTGGATCAAGCATAAGTGGGAACGCGACTTGCGGTTTCGTTGCGGTAAGATAACGATCACACCAAAATGCTGGATCTTGATCCACCTTTTTCCAAATCAAGTGGGAACGCGGTGTTTGTCATGTTTGTGGTATTAGTATTTTATAGCAAATATTGACTTGTTTGAAGTTTTGTCTTCGTCAATCCTTTTCTTGTAGTCTGGTTTTCTGACCCCACTTACCGTACATGTAAGATGAAACGTAGCAATTAATAGACGTTAGGGAATTGAAAGGTCAGGGAACCAGTCTATCTGGCTTGTACCCAATCATACAGTGTAATCGATTACAAACAAAATGCGGACTAACTAAATATGGTAAATGAGGAGCAATTTTTTTTCCAATGCTGGTCAGCCGACCAGCGTTGGAAATGGTTACATGTACAAACATACCACTTTTCTTGAAAATGTCAGCACACCAGGTGCCATGAGTTTACAGGATGCTTTAGACTGTCATTCACTAACACTGTCATGACTGTAACAGTCAAGTAAGGTATTTCATAATAATTTGGTAGTTTTTTTTGCCGTGCAAATGTTGTACAGTATATTCCCTGTTTTGTAAGCTCCAACTTTTGTGCAAACAAAAATGTCCATCTTCCTTTTAACTATAGATGACAATTTGCAAAATGTGGATTCCGTTACCACGTCCCCCATAGACTTATGTGCATTCATCTGCTTTGTTCATCTCTGGAAACTGGGCATCAAGTAGATCTCGCACATGCGCAGTTGGAATTGCAAAATGGCTCATTGAGATTGTCCTTTTGTTTCATTTTTACATAGAAAACACTTTTTGTCTATTTCTATTTTCCAGACTTACGAAAATGTGCTTAAATATTTTGTTGGCTTGCTTTACATAACGTTAGCGATATACGTCTGCATTATTGCCGAGCCGCAAATATTTGCAAAACCTGTAATGGGCAAATTTGTTTTGCTCCATGTTTCACTCGGCAGTGAAAAACTTTTGCATTGCTATCGGGTATCTACTGTAGATTTCAAAACAAAATCTAGTTTTTGAGGTGAACCCTAAATTTAGCATGGGAAAAGGAACTTTAAAGCTTGTACGTATGTACGTATTTGGCACTGTGGACATGTCTATTTTTGTGTACATTGTAGATGTACATGTACAGCCTTTAGTTTGCAAAGTTTTCAGAAATCCATAATTTAATGAGAATGAACCCATACAAATGAAAAGGGCAATGTTTTCTTCAATCATTAAGACTGCTTCTGAGGATTTTATGATGCAATTTTACGATACCGTATACATGTAGATATTCACTTAAACACAAGCCAAATGTCATGCAATGTATGTGGGTGTATGTACATGTAGGCCTTTGTACTGTACGCTGTTCTTACAAGTACACAAATGTAGTAAACAAGTGACAGAGACACAGTAACATAGATTTAACATATTTAAAGATATAGTCCATCATTTGTAATTTGTGCATTTTGTTCTTTTGAAGCAACAAAAAAGCTCAAAATCTAAAGAAGGGTGCTTAACAACTAACCTGATGAAGTTTCAGCTCAGCTTCAGCTGTATATTCCGAGAAAAACAGCATTCTAGGATCTCAATTTCAAATCAAAAGTTGCTGAATCATGTTTTGAATTGCGCCTGAATTCAGCGTCTGAGACACGTTCTCACTGAGCTGATTGCAGCTACGCAATGTCGCGCACTGATCTATGGATCCGACGAATTATAACAACCGCGCGTGCGTGTGCGTCGTGCCAATGCTTGAGGGCGCTTCGCCGAATAACAAAAAGGAACTACTAATTTAAATTTCCTACGGTGCGTCTTAAGAAGCACAGGGAGTTTAGTCCCCTTACTATCTTTCAACCAAGAAAGTTTTTCAACAATAATTACGCCAGTTACTTTTCAAATAGCTGCAAATGATGGACTATAGCTTTAACAAAATGAACACCGTAATATGTTTTTGTTATGCAAATTTTATCATAAATTAATCTTTGAAAATGTATTACATGTAAATCTATGAGACATCCCTTTTTGTGGTTTACAGTTTTGCAAACTTCACTTTCTAACACATGTTCCCAAGCATGCAAATGAGGGCGCTGTTGCTGTGATGTCTAAATAAGGTACACACTCGTCCGTTTATAGGATTTTTGTTCAAATTGTGAGTTCACCCCACAATAGGGCTGTTTCAATGTATCAAATATTTTGATATCCGATCATCAACAGAATATTCGAATAGCGCTTTGCCGGTTCAAATGTTCGTTAATTTTTTAATTTTGTTAATTACCCACGTTAATTCTTGGGTATACGGTAATACAGGCCCTACTGCACTACCAGATGCCACTTTTTGTCAACATTTCGGCGACTTTTTTCGTCACTGGCGGATCATCGTTTCCAACCTTTGGGCGGGTTTAGCTAACTATCAGCAAGTTTCGTATATTTGAATATTCAGTCAAACACAGTTTTGAATATCCAAAACTAAATTATTCGAAAACGAACAGCCCTAGCCCACAAATTGTTCGAAAACATTTGTGTTTAAAAAATATCTGACTGACTTGCACTGGATGTACGGAAACGACAATAAATCACCGTAAAAAAAAATCTCAACTTCCAGCAAATGTTTGTGCTGTTAAAGCAATTCTAACACTGACATTTTTATCATATCATTTTTATCGAATCATATTGCTTTTGCTCATGAATGCAGAATTTCTCATTAGCGTAACTAACAAACAGGCATCAAACACAGTTGAAACTGCAAAGTATTGAAGACTGAAAATAAACTTAAATGGAACATGTACATGTGCATTCAAAGGTGCATTTTCCAGTATTGCATTAAAAAAAAGATCAATTAGGCCCCCCCAAAAAAGTCTCTGCTTTCTGGTATGGAGCTTGCCCAAAAAGTGGTGCGGCGACGCGGCTTTTTTTTTTTTAACCTGATTTTTTTGCTTCAAATGTCGGCTGATGACTGCAAATGGTGCCCGACTAAACTTAGTGCAAATATATGGGAGTCCAGAAAGGCCACATAAAGCTTATCGCGACCAATCTAAAAACACGTTAAAATTGTGCAGCAGCAGGATTCCAGTCAAACCAGTGAGTTTGGAGGTTTTGAGACATCATCTTTCATTGAAAAAAAAACTTTTTCATTTTGCCGACGTGCATGGCTACGGCGACGCGCGCCCATACCAGAAACCGGAGACTTTTTTTGTTGGTCTTACGTGGGCCCTTTAAACACTTAAACAGCAAAAAAAAATTTTTTAAAAACATTTACAACATTAAACGTAACGTCACAGCTCTAACACTGCCAAAACTGCCTACCAAATATTTCGCCACCGCTGGCATACTCGGTGACTAAGTACATGTTCCTCTCTGTTTCCATGACTTGATAGAGACGGACGACGTGCGGATGCCTCAGTTGCTTCATAACCTGCACCTCCCGAACAATCTTCTTCAAATTCTCCTCGTCCAGTTGTGTCTTGTCTATTATCTTGATGGCAACCTACAGAGAGACATAGAGACCAATTTTTAATAAATATTTAGGCTAGCTTTGTTTTTTCAAATCAACTAGGCCAAAAAACACCAAATCCGCGGGTTGGGCCGGTTTGTCCATCATTTTGTCAGCCGGTATCCGCTCCGTTCACAAGTACCCCCTCACCGACAAAGAGAGTACAGTTGAAGGTGACCAACCGACGCCATCTTGCCTGACTGCAATTCATTTGCTGTGAAGCACGGCCACTGCGTGTACATGTACATAGTACAAATCCCCTTGTGTGCGTGCATCACACACAAGGAACAGTGCGTGTCAACCAGCGAAATGTCCCGCCCATGGGACGTCAATGCTAGGTAAAAGGGCGCCCTCTTTTGTCGGCGCACAGAGCCCATAGGGTTGGTTTCTGTATGCGTCGCGAAATTTGGGTCGGGTTGGGTCGGTTGACCCATTTTGGAAAAACTTGAAATAAACCGGGGAAAAAAAAAACAGTTTGGAAATTCACACGATGCAATGTTATTACAAGTTACTGTGCCCGGAACGAATGATTTGCAGTCTATCACGCAGGGTCTATAACATTAAGGCCCAACAGTACATTTTTTAGGTCATGTTGTGAGTAACGCACTGAATTATTCAGTTACTGAGAGCCAACTATTTTTACGCAACGCGAGTACATGTATGTTCAGGCACAAAAAGTGGACACAGATGCCTAAGCCAGATATTTTTTCCCCTTGTTTTTCAGGTCGGTTCAGTTTCGCGGCGGTTTGGTTTTCATTGAGTTTTTGTTGGGTCGGGTCAGGTCGGGTCGGGTCGGTTTTAGGGAGTTCAGATCGGTTTTAGTTCGGATTCAATTGTTTCAGGTCGGTTTCGTTTGGCCTGGTTAACCCGAACCCGATGCATGCAGTAACGGTCATAATTTGAGTTCACTTTTCCCTGTTACATATTTGACATGTACCGGTGCATGTACATGTATAACTTAATTATTCTGAATGCACTCCTTAATGCAGTCAGCCTCTGGAGTGATAATGAATGGCAACGTGTACATGTACCCAACAAATTAAAAAACTGTTTGTCATTCTTAATGATACTTGAATGGCAAATTAAAAAGTTCCAAGGTACACATACATAACAGGGGCAAGCAAAAGTCACACTTTAGACCCTACATTGTATAGAATCGCCTACATGTACAGTACATGTACCGGTACATGTATACTATGTACAAAAAAAAGTACAAGTGTACAAATTTAACATGTTTAACATACATACATGATTCTGCATTGAAATACCTGTACAGGTACTGTACTGGTAAATGTATACATTTGTATACATTCACAAAACGCGTACACATACATGTACATGTATACATGTATACATGAGCACAATGAAATCTTAACTGTACACACACATGTAGACATTACAGATACATGTACACCGTTCTTACCCCAGTACCTGTACAAGTACATACATATACTTTCATATGAAAGCAAAACCATTAAAACAACATTAGCAAGTGGATTTCATGACGTCAATGAACTAATGATGTTTGCCCTTGTTGTTACAAGTTTGTTTTGCTCTTTATTTCACCACATTATGTAAACATTTGAACTGGCCATTTACACACATATGCATAACATTGCACATGAACATTTGTGTATACATTGTAAGGCACTTTTGATAGCTTCGTGGTACCGGTAAACGTCATGTAAGATACGGCATAAACTGTGTAATTAGATTTTCTGAAGTTTTAAAGAAACTAAAGTGTACTTTGATTTTCTGAAGTTTTAATGAAAATACAATGTACAAATACATGTACACTTATTTCAACTGTTCAAAGATAGTATTTTCAGAGATAGCTAGCACTTGCGAAAATAAACACGTTTGTTTTTCGTGTGCAATTTTTTTATGATGTGAAAGTGATCCTTTTAGCAATAAACCAGTTCGGTATTTCAACTGTGCATGCGCACAATGATGTGGGTCACGGGTCATTGGGGATAATCAAAGCGTTGCAACCCTGTGACACGTCGTAACTCGCGGCGTGTCGTATGATCCATTTCACAAAACTTGCGATGTGTTGAACATGTCGTAAGTTCCTTGACAACGACTTAAAACAGGTCGCAAGATGGTACGTGCCTTAGTGGTCATCGCAAATTAAGAAGCGTCCTTTTCTTAGCCAGTTTTATGACATAAAAATGACATAAACAAGACTTAAATACAGGCCTTCATTTTTAAGGAGCGCGAGCGCGATCGCGCTCCTTCGCGCTCCTCAACACGGTTTCTGGCGCGCGAATAATAGCGCTCCTCGGTAAATTTGTAAGCTCATTAATTGTCGACTCCAGTTTTTGTCTACATAAAGCCAACAGTAAAATCTTGTCAATCAAAATTTTATATACTTGATTTCTTAACTTGTCATCCCGATGTTTGAACGATTTTGTTGCAAAAAAAATCAACAAAAGTAAGTCGAAAACCTTCGTAAAATCCACCCATAATCATCGCAAGGATTTTGTAAACATCGCAGTTACTCGAGCCATCCCATACATCACGTATATGGACACATTAGCCATTTTCTTTTCATCAACGACATGTAGCACGTTCCATTATGATCAGGGCAGGGTACTGGCAGGATCGTCATTCAGACGTGCACCGCCATTAAGTGAATAAAATGAAATAATAATTTCGGTTGAGATCAGTTTATAAATATTTATAATGTAAAACTAAATAAATAAACCTCCGATGAAGTGAAACCCCAAACAATTATGAAATGGATGGGCTGTGCAATTGAAACCACCTACTTTGTAATACCAACACCCCTATTTTTCGATAAAATGGACGTGGCCCACACGTGTTGAGTGTGGTGTGCCGGGCGATCGCGAGACCGACCCGTCCCCCGATCCCATCCCACGCATAACGCGTAGGCCTACTTGTGCGCGGTCTAATACTGTGTAGCCAGACAATTAACAGTGAAATTACACCGTTTTTCTGGAAGTTGTGATGTTCCAAAGGGAGCCAGAGTTTTTGAACGGCATTTTGAATGATCTCAGGTACATCCACAAGAAACTAGCGTTCATTTTTGACAAGTTTGGGTTGGAAATACCTTACGAAAGGTTGAGCTCATTTGTCCCACAACGATAGAGTGCAGAGCGATTTTCCGTGTCGACTACCGGGCTATTCGCCGCAAGCGCGGCCGGTCAACTGGCCACCCGTGCACGGTGACATTGTTTGTGCGTAGTACCATTCGACATTTTGTAATGGCGTTTAATACTTGTACATTTCTGTGACCTTACTTTCGATCCTTTTATTTTTTTGTGCCCAAAACCAGATATTCATATAATTATTTTCCTTTTCTATTTTACTAATTTTGAGGATTTATGTGACAAAAAAGTGTTTCTTTGACAGATGTATGACCGGACTTTAATAAATTAATTGGATTTTTTTTTTGGGGGGGGGGGGGGGAGGGGGCTCTATTCATCAATTTGGATATAATTTTAGAACCCCTCAAAAACACGGTTACACCACATGATACATATGCAAATTTAAACAAAAACAGGTTTTTAGTAAAGTTAGTAAACCAAAACAAACTATTTGATAAAAAAAAATCAATAAATAAAAACTGAAATAAACAGTAAATAAAACAAAAAATAAAAATAAAATAAAGTGAATATAATAAAAACGAAGTAAAATAGAACAAAAAAGAAACACTAAAGAACCACAAGTCAACTCCAATTTGTTTTTCATTTTTATTTCCAATTCCACATCAGGATGATTCACAAACAAGTAAACTTAAACCTATTAAATTGAGTGACATGAATTAAGCACTCAGTTTGTAGTGAACAGTCGCATCTGTTTCTCAGTTCTGATGCAAGTGTGTGTGCATGATATGAAAGGCTTCAGGAAATGATTTCGATTCATTTTTTACTTTGAGCACAAAACATGCAAATCGAGCTCCTCGGACTTTTCTAGGAGAGCAATTTTGGGTGCTCAAATTGAGCTCCTCGGATTTCCCAGGAGAGCGATTAACTGAGCTCCACGAATTTCTAAAAATGAAGGCCTGAAATACCGAGACAATGTGCGTAAAGTTGTAAATTGAAAATGCATTGAAGTAATTATGAATTAGCCTGGAATATTGCAGTTGGAATTTGAAAGTAGCTGTACAGTCCACTGCATGCGAGCTTGTTTTCCTTTAAAACTGCAATAAATGTCCGTCATTTTGTTTTGCATTTTAAAAACTTTTCTACAGGAGATCACACAACTCTTTGTTGAATATCAGACGACTGTTTACTGTTCGTTGAAGAAATACCTAACAGTCACCGTGTTGGGCTATAAATACACTAACGACTCGATTTGTGAAATGAATCGCAGGACGCGCCGCAGCTGCGATGCATTGTAGGGATATGACATATGTCGCATCGCTGCGATACATTTTAAGTTGGGATGAGTTTCGTGAAATCGGGTGTTGAATCTACAATGTATATGAGTTGAATTACAATAATGACATTGTAGGCCTACCGGTACATTGTACATGTACATGTGTAGTGCTGTACTTAGCATAGGAACCAACCTACCTGTACATGTACAATGTAAACACATGGTGCATCTGTTTGTGTGCAAAAAGAAACCAAGCTCAATGTACCGGTACATGTAGGCTACATTTAAAAGTCTTTTGGTGTTGCAGATTTATTAAAAAAACAGGGGGGGGGGGGAACAGCACTATTTCATTTACATAAAACTTACACATTTAAAATTCATTACAAGAGAAGAGGGATCAGAATTGGTCAAGCGCACTGACTAATAGTGACAGATCATTAAATAAAACTCATTTTACAAACAGTGAACAAAATAATAGGCATACATGCATTGACATGCAGACATGGAAGCAAAACAACAGATCCTTGGGGAAGAATAAAAAACAAGAAAATAATCTCCCCCTTTGTGACCTCAAAATTGGTTGCAAAGTGGCATTATATCGTGCCCTGTGGCTAAGCTGGTAACCTACGCCGTGTCCAAATTACCTGGCT